GAAGTGCTTCAGTAGGGGCCAGCTTTCAGAGTTCTTAAGCCTTGCCTAATTTCCAGTTAGTCTCTGTTTCCTGTGCCTGCTTGAAGATGTGAGCACTCTTCCTTCTGTTCCACTGACATTCTGCCACCATGCCTCCCCACCATGATGGACTCTAATTCCTCCAAAGCCATAAGCTCATATAAATTCTTCCTTCTATAAGTTGTTTTGGTGAGTGTTTTTATCACAACAACAGAAAAGGGAAGTTAGACAAATAGTATATTTTACCTTTCGAAATTATTAAGAGAATTAATGTATGTTATCACTACAAAAAGAATGGAAGGTAGTTGACATGATTGGTGTGTTAGCTAGTTTTATCTAATCATTCTACATCAAATATAAACAGCATAAATTCACTTTTGTTGCATAAATAGGTCCAATAAAATTCTGAAAATTTATTTTAAAATTGTCAAAGGACTTTACTAGACCTCTTGTTCCAAAAGATGAAGTACAAGTTTGCAGCGAGCTTACAAAAATATATTCAACATCATTATTCATCAGAGCCAGGAAATTAAGATCACATTGAGTTATCAACTCACATTTGTCAGAATGATTGCTACTGAAAAAAATAATAGTAATACTAGTTGTTGTTGATGTGAAGCAATTATAATCCTTGTATGGTAGTGATAGAACTGTAAAATTGTATAGCCATCCAGACAACAGTGTGACTTTTACAAAAAGCTAAAAACAAATAGTATATAATATAATCCAGCTATCTTCTTACCATTAATTGCTGAAAGGAATTAAAACTGGGTCTCGCTGGGCATGGTGGCACAGGCCTTTAATCCTAGCACTTGGGAAGCAGAGGCAGGTGGATCTCGTGAGTTCAAGGCCAGCCTTGTTAAATTAGTGAGTTCCAGGCCAGCTAGGGCTACAGGGAGACCCTGTCTCAAAAAAAAAAAAAAAACCAAAACCTGGGTCTCACATAGACAATTGTATGTGTATACTCAGATCAGTCAATAAGTAGAAGTAGGGCTAGAGAGATAACTCACTGGTTAAGAGTGTATGTGTTCTATTCTTGCAAAGGACCAGAGTTCACTTCAGCAACCACCTCTAACTCCAGCTCCAGGAGAGCCAATGACCTCTTCTTTCTTCCATGGGCACCTGCACTCACACATACCCACACGCAGACACACACGAAGATACAGACAGAGAGACACACACAAACACACAATTAAAATAAATTCCAAAACATAATAATAATGAAAATAATCATGCTTTGTTTTGAGATAGGGTCCCCCTGTAGCTCCAGCTGGCCTGAAACTTGCTATGTGGACCAGAATGGCCTCAATCTCATAGAGATCTGTGTGTCTCTGCCTCATTTAACTGGGATAAAAGGCTTGCACCACCATGCTTGACAAAATAGATCTTTTTAGAAGATGTAGAAGTAATATTAGATGTCTATCAAAAAATGAAATATTGGTCTAATTTACAGAAACATGTAGAATGGTGATTACCAGGAACTGACTGAGAAGAAAGTAGGAGTTGTTATTTAATAGGTACAGAATTTTAATTTATCAGGTGAAAATATTTTGTAAATCTGTTTCACAAAGAATGTAAATATAAATATTAAATAACCAAGACTGTAAATATAAATATTAAAATTGAATTGCGAATTTAAAAGTGCTTAAGAAGGTAAGCTTTAGCTCAGTGTAGTAGTGCATGCTTATAATTCCAGCATGCAGGAAACAGAGACAGGAACAAGGTTATTATAACTAAAATGATTAATAATTTCTTATTCAGTAAAATTATTAGAGGTGCTTAAAAAGCAATGATGTGTGTGTTGATTTTATATCCTGATACTCTACTGAATTTATTTATAAGCTTTTAAATTTTTTTGAGAATTTCATACATGAATACTGTACTTATAACATTTCTACCCTTCCCTCTCTCCCTCCAACTCTTCCTATGCCCTCCCATTCCCTCTCAAATTCACAATCCCTTCTTTAATTATTATAGTTGCACAACACAGACACACACACACACACACACAAACACACACACACAAAACTTACTGAGCCCATTTAGTGTAGCTCTTAAGCACATGCATTTAGGGATGACCTCTAGGGAATGAATAATCTATTAGGGGACTCTCTTTGGAGAAAACTGATTCTTCCTCTTTCAGCAGCTATAGATTTCCTACAGTTCTTCATCTAGAGGTGGAATCTTAAGAAATTTGCCTCATCCATGTTGGCATGTCAGCTTGCACATAGTCTAATAATCTTTCAGTGGAATTCTAAGTTTTTTTTAAAATGGTTTTATTTATTTTTATTTCATGTGTATGAGTGTTTTACCTGTGTGTATGTAAGTGCATCACATGCGTGCAATTCCCACAGAGGTCAGAAGAGGATATCAGATCCCCTGGAACTGGAGTTAGCTGCCATGTGGGTGCTAAGAACCAAACCTGGATCCTCTGCAAGAGTGGCCCAGTGATCTTAACAGCTGTATCAGCTCTCCAGCCACAGAATTTTAAGGTTTTTTTAGGTATAGATTCATATCACCTTCAAATAGAGATAATTTGATTTCCACTTTTCCAATTTGTGTGCCTTTTTATTCTTTCGTTCCCAATAGTTCTAGGCTAAATATTTAGAACTATATTGAATAAGAGTAGTGAGAGTAGACACCTTAGTCTTGTTTTTTATTGTAGAGGAAATGTTTTCCTAGTTCACTATGATGTTGGCTATAGACTAATCATTTATATCCTTTATTATATTGAGGTAGGATTTTTGTAGGCTTAACTAATTTCAGGACTTTTTTCCATGAAAGGATGTAGAATTTTATCAATACTTTTTTTTGCATCTACTGAGATGATTATGTGATTTTTACCCTTGATTCTGTTTGTGTGAGGTATTTATGTTTACTAATTTCAAATGTTGAACCATTCTTTCCTCTCTAATACAAAACTAACTTGATCATGGTTGATATTTTTCTAAGTTGCTGAAATTTCTTCCCAAGTATATTATTGAGAAATTGTGTACCTATGTCCACCAACTGTATAGGTGCATCAGTTTTCTTTTGTAGTTGTTGCATCTTAATCAGTTTTTAATGTGTTTTTAGTGAATTTTGGCAGATTTCACATGATACATCTCAATCATATTTAGACCTGTTTGCCCCCCCGCAAAGCCTGCCTACTGGCTTTCATGCATTCTGTCATATATATTAAGACTTATCAAGTCAATTTTGTGCACCCAGTTGGCTTTTTGTGTGAGTTCATCCACTGGAGCCTGTTCAGCCTGTCTAGCCTCACTCCTTTAAAGAAAATCAAATCTCCCTCACCCCAGGGCATTGCACAACATGGGTGCCCTTACACACATGCAGGCGATATACTCATACACATAAAATAAAAATAGTAAATAAAATATTTAAAAGAATCTGTCTCCATAAAGTCACATTCTTAGGAGATGAGTGCTCAGAAATTAAAACACACTTTTATGGGAAATAATTCAGGATGAGTATACTGAGTATCTACATTAAGTATAAATAATATCTGCTATTATTGTCAGACACATCAATCAATACATATTACACTTGCTGAAAATCTACCTTAATTGGCTTTAATCATCATGCAACATCCTAATATTATTTCCAGACTTGTAGGTTACAGTGCAAAATAAACATAAACAAAACATACATAACCATGCTACAAAAATCATATCACTTTGTGAAAAGATAAAGGTGGATATAAATTGAAAACAAAATCAATAATAATTTTAAAGTAAAATAAGGTGCGATATCTTCAAATACGGGACTTCAAATCTAAAATATGCATACTTCTGAAGAAAGACCTAACAGTATGTATATAGACAGAATTACTCCTATGCATAATGTGACTAGGCTGAGCTCTACATTAAGATGATTGTCACTGGACATTAATATCCTGATAGACAATATAGGCATTAATAAATATACTGTGCCCATAAAATAAATTATATATTATCAAAACAGATTTGTGTCTCAATAATTTGACTGTATGCCAAATTATGTGAAGAATTTCAGAAAGAAAGTACCTGGAGCAAGAGGGTAGAAGTGGGAGAAGCAAAAGATTATTGGGAAACAAAGAAGGGACAATGTAAGGGAAGCCAACAGCCATACAGTTTACAAACAAAAGGAGTGCAGGAGGGGTTCCAGGGAAAGAAAAACAATCAACTGCATATTTAGCAGAAAGAGGACCCCATGCAGACAGAAAAATAATCACAAATATATACACAGCATTAGGAACAAGAATACAGCTGCTGCAGCAGTTGGTGAAAGACCACCATGCCAGAAACGCCACTCCCACAAGAGGAAGGACAGAGCCCTCAAAAGCCCAGACACTCCCTCCTCCTTCCCCTGCCCACCACCTGCCCCTACACTCTCCTGGCCAGGGGGTCCTCCCCTCTTAGCTCTGACAAGCACTCACTGGGCTGGTTGCCTGCTGATCCTCCTCCTCAGGCTACTTGCAGAAGCAGTTGCTAGGTGTCCAATCTGGGAAGCAAAGCCCACCATCAGCAGCAGAAAGGCCATTACTGGGTGTCAGAAAGAAGGGGGGTGGGATGGAATCGGACCAGAGATACAGAGTAGTGGTGGGCACCAGGCAAGAACAGGGAAGAGGTCTGCAGTCCAGAGCGGGAAAAAGGGGAAGCATTAGCAGCCAGGCACAGATTCTAAAACGAGCACAGAAAAGCCAGGAGGTGCAGGTGGGCGCCCCTCATGGCTAGGGGCGGGGCGCTAGCCAGTAGCTAGGAGTAGCTGTTGCCTTTCTCAGAGTTCCCAGTCCCAGGGAACTCTGCTTGCCCCTCCAGCCTTTCCCCAGAGCTGAAAGGAACCCCAGAGAGCACAGAGGACCCACACCCAGGCTTCCCAGCATTGTTGCCAAGCTCCTGGGGGATACTCAGGAGTCAGCACCCGGGTACAGGGAAATTGCACAGAAATTCACTCCTTGGCCCCTCAGCTATCTGTTTCTATCCCCCCTCCTCTCTGCAGGCATGAAGACTTCCAAGGCACAAGAGACCGAAGGGCAACACTCCAGGGCCGCTGCAGGACGGGCCACTGGGACTGCAAACTTGACCAAAAAGAAAGCTGCTCAGAAGAGGCAGAGGGGCAGGCCTTCATCCCAGTCGCGCAGGAACATTGTGGGCTGCAGAATCTCCCATGGATGGAAGGAGGGAAATGAGGCCATCACCCAGTGGAAAGGAACGGTTCTGGATCAGGTGCCTATAAATCCTTCTCTTTATCTGGTGAAATATGACGGAGTTGACTGTGTCTATGGACTGGAACTTCACAGAGATGAAAGAGTTTTGTCCCTTAAAATTCTTTCCGACAGGGTGGCGTCATCCCAAGTCGGTGATGCCAGCCTCGCAGATACCATAATTGGCAAAGCAGTGGAGCACATGTTTGAGGGTGAGCATGGCTCTAAGGATCAATGGAGGGGGATGGTCCTAGCCCAAGCACCTATCATGAAGGCCTGGTTTTACATTACCTATGAGAAGGATCCTGTCCTGTACATGTACCAGCTTCTGGATGATTATAAAGATGGCGACCTCCGTATTATGCCAGAGTCCGATGAGTCTCCTCCAGCAGAGAGGGGGCCAGGAGGAGTTGTCGATGGCCTGATAGGCAAACATGTAGAATACACCAAAGAAGACGGCTCCAAAAGAATCGGCATGGTCATTCACCAGGTGGAAGCCAAACCCTCTGTGTACTTCATCAAGTTTGACGATGATTTTCATATCTATGTCTATGACTTGGTAAAAAAGTCCTAACTGTTTGGGAAAACTTTGCCCCAACTGTGGAAATAAAGGTGTAATTTGTAGACATCAGAAAAATGCTGCTTTTGAGTGCATTGAGAGTTGAGGGGTGCCTGCTGATCTTTGCCAGCATAAACCTTGTTCTGAGAAAACCAGATTTATGGGGGCATGGCATGCTGTGTTGTATGTAAGCACTTTGTCTTGTGGAAAAGATTGGGCGCATTCGGTGGGTGGAGCGTGAAAGGATGGAGCAGCTGTCAATTCAGCCTGTGAGAGAAGTGCAGCTAGTATCATAATCAGCCATCTAAAAATGGAATGGGACTTAGCTGGTCTTGTCTTGGTGGGGGAGGGGAAGGAACTGGAGATGGGCTGTGGAGGAGGGGGCAGGAGTGGGTGACTGCTTAGGAAGAAATGGAAGGGAGCCAGAAAGGGAGAGGCTCCCTGGAAGAGGAACAGAGTGCAAGGAAGAAATATGCACTGGGCAGGGAGTGGAGGACACTAGTGGGACCTTCTGACTTTCAGAAAAAAACAGAGTAACTTGTGTAGAAAAGGACTCAGCAGCCTAAAAGAGGTGCACAGCCAGAGTAAGACAGGTGAGATTGACAGGGACATGAGGAGAAATTCAAGGACATAGTGAAGAGAACCAGTCCATAGAGAGTAGAGGTGCTAAGGGAGACACGCTGAGGAAGTACTCTTTCCAACTAGAGGGGCTGGATATCTTAGAGAGTGAGAATATGGACAAAGAAGTGTGGAGAGTAGAACGCAAGGAGGTACAGGAAGACCCAAGCAAAAGCTGGGCTTCTGCCGGTGTCCACATCACTCCTCCTGTCTACAGTGGCAGTGGCAACTGTCAAAGAAGGCAGATACAGAGGAGGGTCACTAGAAGGGCATTTTGGCAGGGACCACTTGACAAGGGCATCTGAAGCAAAGGCCAAGGTTATATCGGTCAGACTTTCCTTGTTTCAGGGAATCTATGACACATGTGCTGAGCAGAACCTCAAACCCCAGTTTGAACAGACTAATGTAGTTCATCCCATGGCCTCTGCAAAGGGCAAGTACTTTATCCAGGAACTTGGAGCCTGGGTGAACCCAGGAATAGCAGTCCCATCACGGTCCTTCCTCATGCTGGAATGACCCTTGCCGTTCCTAGGGAGGATGGGCATCTGATTATTGATCTTAATGTCTCTCCATGGTGTGGAGAGAATTTGGCTGTCCTTGCTCTACCACAACTGCCTAAGACTACAGGTGCTGTCCAGTGCCCCAGCAAAGGAAACTATCCTCCCCTAAGCAGCCCCATTCTATTTAGACCCAACACACACAGAGAGCCTATGGCTACTGACCCATTCTGGGTATCTGTTACCCAAACTGTTCCCCACCCCTCTCTTAAACTTCTGGCCAGTCCATATGGAAGTTAGTGCTGTTCTTTTCTACATACCTTTCTTTTTTTTGGCAACCTAAATAAAATCCCTCAGAGCTGCAGTGCCCAGTACATGGGTCTGTTTCCTCTTTTTCTTTTTATTATCATTGCCCAGTCCCTCTGGAAACACTTTGTGACTTCTGGCCTCCCCACCCCACCCCTTCCCGGTGCTTATTTCTCCCAAGTGAAGAGTGCTGCTCAGTTTCGGCTGCCCAGGTGTCCCTAACTCCACACATGGAGGAAGCAAGGATCTTCCAGGAGTTGTCTCTGCTCAGCCGCCCACCCCAAGCCCCACAATATTGACTCTAGGCTGATTGCTTCAAGAATTACACAAGGGGATTGGAGAAATGGCTCAGTGGTTAAGAAAACTGGCTGCTCTTGCAACGGACCCGGGTGTAATTCCCAGGTAACAACTGTTTCAGGGGATCTGACAATCACGTGACGCCCTCTATGACCTCTGTGGGTACAGCATGACACAGGTGCATTTATGTACATGCAGGCAATACACCCATACACATAAAAGAACAATAATAAATTTTAAAAATTAAAAAATATTACAGAAGGCAGGCATACCTCACCAGAGCAGAGTTTGGTTTTCTTTCCCACATCACATGATTTTGCCCAGGCAACACCAACGTGCATCTATGTGCTATTTGGTGTTTTTGTTTTTGTTGTGGTCAATCTCAAATTTGGTACTTTAGACTTTTGTTAGGTTCACATAGTAGAAATCCCTTTCTGGGTTCTGCTGAAACCCAAATGAAATGAAACACAAAGTTCTAGGGCCCACATTCCAACAAGGATGCAAGCAGCCTGGTGTGAGGAAGGGCTCATCCTAGTTTTGCCTTCCAGTATTGCAGTTGGGCACTCTTCCAGTTGTCCTACTTCACTGTGATAAAATGCAAGTCCGTCCCCTGGAGGCATCTGCATTTGTAGCTTTGAGGCTAGGCCAGGGGAAACATGTCTTTTTTATTGCTGTATCCCATTGGCTTTTTTCATTTGTTTCCCCCTCCTCTCATAAATTCTTTGGGTGGGTTCTGCCAGGCACTCATCTAGACACAGATACTGATAACGACAGCAATGGGCAAGAGCAGTGAATGAAAACAGAGCTTATCCTCTCAGAGCTGTCATTGAAGTGTGAGAGACAGATACATAAGTCAATATGAAGCATCTTCATATTGATAAGTGATAAGAAGGGAAACACTAACGCTAGCTTCAAGGAAATGAAATCCCAAGGAGAAAGCTCTTTTCAGAAAAGCAGTAGGGACACGGAAGGCTTCATCCAGCCCTCGGCTTTTCAGTAAAAACATGAAGGTACTGAGAGAAGGAACCCTGAAGCTATCAAGGAGAGGCCAGGCAGACTTAACAATTGTTTTAGGCTCTGGGGCTCAGAAGCGTGGCAGTGCTTGAGGAGGAGCAAGCGAGATGGTAGCCTTTGTGGAGCTGTGGTGGGGTGGGAGGCAGAGAACTTCAGAAAGAGATTTCAGAGAGGTCACAAGGATGGGGGAGTCAGAGATTCCGCAGCCCTGCATGTTGCAATCTCTATAGAGGAATTTGGCTTTTAGCCTTGAATGAGAGGGAGCCATTCAGGCAATTAAAGTCCAGTAGTCACCTTTCTAAAATATCTCAGTAGGATTACAGTGCAATGCTGAATCCTTATCGTTTATGTTTTGAAATCTGTATTTAATAATCAACCTAATCTGCTAATTGAGTTTATACATAATAATGTTTTTTATCAGTGTTTTGTCAGTGGTTACATTTAGAATTATTTGAACTTTGGGTATACATATATTAAAGTCCAGTAGTCACCTTTCTAAAATATCTCAGTAGGATTACAGTGCAATGCTGAATCCTTATCGTTTATGTTTTGAAATCTGTATTTAATAATCAACCTAATCTGCTAATTGAGTTTATACATAATAATGTTTTTTATCAGTGTTTTGTCAGTGGTTACATTTAGAATTATTTGAACTTTGGGTATACATATGTTGACACAAAAGCATAACTCTCTACTCAAAGGGGATAAGAGATGGTTTATTCTGCAGCCAAATATGACTAACCATGGCTTGGGAACACAGACTCAGGTTACCCCAAATTCCGTGTTCCAGTGTGTTAACAGTTACATTAGGTTTTCATAGTAACAGAACAAAGAAAATTCATAAATCAAGACACCTTTCAAATATATTCGTGGATACATTCGTTAGGCAGGTCATAGCAAAGTGTGTGTGGGTGGGGGATTCTATTATAGGTCTCAGAAGCTATCTGATAAGATTCTTACTTTTTTGATTTGTGAGACCTGCTGTCTGCTAAGTTAATACACAAGAATGTTAATTTAGAAACAGAGGTAGACAAGGTATGGCTATTTATGGGGTTAAAGATAGCCTCAGATGATTTGTGACTAGGCTCTGGATCTGCAACTTTCCAAACTCTCCACAGTCTCTGGATTCCTAATCAGTTGTTCAGCCTTTCAGGAAATTCATTTCAAGATGCAGGAATTCTTTCTGGGAACTTTCTTTCACACATATATATTTTAAGCCCTGCCTCACTATGGAGCCCTGGCTGGCCTTAGACCAGGCTAGCCTTGAACTCACAGAGATCTACTTGACTCTGCCTCCAGCATACTGAAATCAATGATATTTGCCACCAAACCCAGACTTGAGTTGTGGTATATTTTGAAAGTATATCATGCCATGTTCTATTAACTATTATACACACTATAAGAAAAATATGAGTTAAGAAAATTTTCAATAGTCTTCTGTTTTCAGACTGAAAATGTGTCACAGTTCAACATGATACTACAGCTGAGGTTTCAAAGGAAAAATAAATTTTACATTATTCTGTTTTCAGGTTTATAGCCATTTGAAAGACAGACACAGTAATCACACAAATAAGGCCCAAAAGACAATAGAACTAGATACCTAGACATAGGGCCACCAAGTCTTCCTTATATACTTCACCAGCCATGGGCAGAATTGGAGAACTGTAGATGTACTTCAAACAGACAGGGACTGAAAGGTTTGTTACATGTTCAAGTCCTCTCAAATGCATCAATTAAGGAAACCATTGAGAGGTATGGTGTAGGGAGACTATGAATTTTTTGGACAACCACTAAACATAGTTTGTGGTTAAAGAAAAGAATGTAGTTTGGTAACTTTGCAGTCAGTAAACTGAACAACATATCTAAGCACAATTCAAAATGGATTCTACTTCGGGGAGTATATTTTAATTTTTCCTTCTAAAGATCAACTCCATAGGTTTCTCAGATAAACTATCAGCTGCCCACCTGACTTACCTAAGGAAGGAAGAGTGTGTATTGAAGGAAGAACCCTATTAAATTGGAGCATGCCTCACTGATTTCCTGGTAATCTTTTTGTCTGGACTAAGAAGGAAGTTACACTACAAGAGATGTTAAATTGGGGCTGGAAAGATGACTCAGTGGTTAAGTGCAATGGCTGCTCTTGCAGAGAACCCAGGTTTGATTCTCAGCACTCACATGGTGCCTAATAACTGTCTGTAATTCCAGTTCCAGGGAATCGAATGCCCTCTTCTGACTGCTTCAGGAATTGCATGACATGGGAGCACTTACACATATGCAGGCAATACACTCATACACATAAAATAAAAAATACAATA